ATTCTCTCTTCCAGTAGCGTACCAAGGTTGTTGCAAACGCATCTTAGTTCTGAGATATTGAGGTGGACCACAAACCATTTGTTTCCACCTCCTCCTCAACTGCACATTCCCTGGCATCCCTAGCCTTCCCCCGTTCTGGCTCACCTTAAAAATCTTTCATTCTATTTGAACAATCCCCCTTTTTCCAGCTTGAAAGACCATCACTTCTCCCAACTCAATCAGTAACGGCAGAATTCTCGTGATTGATAATCCAGAGCTTAAAGAATTTCATACATATCCATCTTATCACTTAAACTTTAGACTCAATCACATAATTATTATACCATGCAGTTGAATGTAAAGTACCTTATTATTCTCCAAGGACTATGTAGTTAATATTCCTATTCTCTAACACAACCATCCCTCCTCAGGCACACAGATAAAAATACCAATTAACAATATAATTAAGGTAAATTATGGAAGAAGACATTGCAATTTTACCAGTATTTAAATCAGAACCTTTACTTTCAATTATTTTTTTTGGGCCTTTTACTTTTTGCTTTTTAAAAGTATTGGGATTCAACAATCATCTTTTATAGTAAAAAAAAGCGGAAATTAACTATTGTATCCTTAACACATCTAATTATTGTGACTTAAATTTTCTAACCAACAGTGATTTAATTACTACATACGAAATTCAATTGTTGGTATAGTTTATCAAAAACTTACTGGAGGGTTCTAATTTAAGATATTTGAAATTTCCAGTTCTAGAATAATAAGATAAACCATATTGGCCCTACTTTGAGACAATGACCAGGTCATTTTAGGTACTTTTCCCTACAATTGAATAGCAAAGAAGTGATGATATTTTGAAGAGTGACGTGACCAAATACATGATCCAGAGACAAATGGACAATGCTGACCTTGAGAAAAGGGAACCTTCAAGCTCGTAAATAACATCTGTAATTATCCAATTATCAGGATAAGGCTTGCCACTTGGAGCAAAATAATAGCCAACCTGCAAAATGGTTGCCAAGACACCGAATTATCATTCATCCATCACATGGTTAAACATTAATGATAAAACAGGTACCAGTAATCTTCTAATCATAAGAATGAATAGATCTGAAAATCATATAAATGTCCACTAAGTGATAGAATTGGTTGGCAAGTTATGAAGAAAAAATAATCAATCAGTATGGTTAAAATAGCAGCATATAGTCTTTGGTGCAAGAAAAACATATCCAATTAACATGATAGAAAAGAAAAACAGTTAAATACATGATTGTGTTAGATACATGTCTATACTTCAATTCTACAACGTATTTGTAAACGAACCATTAGTGGAAGGTTAGATGCAATTCAACCAAATCTATAGTAAGTGATACGAATATAATTTTTACTAGTGCCTTTTGGCATGAGCTCTTTGGTCTATGTAGCACCAAGTTCTCCTTCATCTCAGCTTAAAACCCTCAGTCTAATGTTCAAACTGACGAGGTGTATAGGACAAATGAAATGTACTTGAGGTGTTTCTAAAAGCAACCATCCAAAACACTAGTGAGATTGGATTTTGGAGGTTAGTTTTGTTGCGAGACAAGCTATTATTCGCCCTTGCAGACCATCCCCTTTTAGATGGTTGATGGAGAACCCTTGGCTTTTCCCTTACTATCCTAGTGAAGCAAAATTGGAGGTCATTGACTATGAGTTGCAAAATCAAGATCTCTTGTTAAGGGACCTCCCTGACTAACTTCTTCAAGCCCAAGCTACCATAAAAAAAACCTATGACGATAAGCATTGTTGATATGTTTCTCCTTAAACTTCAACCTTATCGTCAAGACTCCTTAACTAAAAAAAGGTTTGGAAATTAGGTTTTAAACTATATAGACCCTTTTCCATCCTAGCTAAAATCGGTGAAGTTACCTACAAGCTAGATTTGCCTCCACTCGCTCACTTTCATCTTGTCTTCGATGTATCATGTTTGAAAAAGTTCCATGGAATGGAATAAGCCTTCCTTATGTTCAATTCACTTGGGGGAGATTGTCCAGTTCCATAGGCAATCCTCAACAAGTGGTCCAAGACTGCAACAGATCCAAGCAACAAATCCCAGTTCATCAGGAAGGACTTTCTTCAGTCAATATTTCATGGGAAGATGCCAAAGAAATGACCAGCATTATCTTTCCTTGCTGCACACAGAAGAACACTTTCTGAAGGAGGGACGTTATGTTACTCTGACAATCGTACACAAAGAGAAACAGGAAAGCAAAAGGTTCGCTGGATTGGTCTACTAGCATGGGACCAGAGACAAACACAAGGAAGCCTAAGCAGCAGCAGCACTCCACTCTATCTAATTTTTCCTATTTAAGATACACACGAATTCATTAGTATTACTAGAATAGATCTTTCTTATTCGGTCTTTACCTATTTTGTTTAGTTGATTTTTCCTATTTTTACCAGGAATTATGAATCCTTTTCCAATTTTGTCTAGTTCCTCTTTCCTGTTTTGTTCGGGGAATTAGGAAATGCTTTCCCAATTGTCTAATTCCTGTTGTTTATAAATAAAGAGCTAGTCCTATTATAAATATCTATTGGAACCAATGGACCAAGCATCCAAATATTTCATTAAAAAATTTAGAGTATTATCTAGAGACCGTAAAGTTCTCTCTAGTGAGCCCCAAACATAGATTGTAAAACCCAAAACTCCACTAAGCTATCAGCTTGCTGCAGGACTTCAATTCACAGAAACCCGTGACTAGATCCCAACCTGGGACCCTATCAGAAGTGACATCTGGTATTATTCGCATTATAGAAAACCTAAGGAAAAGACTAAAGATCACTGCTAATAGATGCCTTATGTACCTTCACAAGCGTGAATCTCTCCATTTCCTTCTTCAGTGTCCAGAGGCTAGAAGGTCCTGGGATTCAGCTTCAGCCTCCTTATTTGTAATAGGTTACATCCGGAATGTTGCATATCAACTTTGGGCTTCATCGAGTATGAGAGGAAGTAAATCTAGGAAAAAATACCTTTTTCTCATTCCTGTGTATACTTTCTGGGTTATTTAAAGAGATAGAAAGAAGAGAGTTTTTGAGCGCACTTGCTCCTCTTTTGACAAAACTAAAGATCACTGGACCCTAAGTATTTTATTTTTGGTTAACAAGGATGTGGAGAACCTTTTAGACCTTTTGGTTTCTAATATTTCATATTCCCTTGGTGCCTGTTTATGTTAATATACATCCTTTTCTTTCACCAAAAAAGAAAGATTACTTTATTGAGCTCCACTTGTAACCACCATGTACAATAAATTTCTATGATTGAAGAATATTGACCTAATATAGAGAAAAGTAAAAAATAAAGATTCACCAAGCATTTAGTTGTGAATGCCGTACCTAAGACAATAACGAGTTAATATCACGTTGAGCAACAACGAACAAAAAACAACTTTCACATCTTGAAGAGTAGTACTTATAAGATAACATATGTTGCAGACATGGTCCAAACATGGGAGAAAAATCACAAATGTAATATAAGAACATTTTGAAGCTGTAATCTGACATTTTATATCGCTATTTGCAGCAGTGCAACAGTGCACCATAAAGGGGAGCGCCGACAAATTATCTATGATTAGTTTAGTAAAAATAAATCATCATTCTAGTTGGACAATGCAGTTGTACCTCTGTCCTTAAATCTATTCCATATATACAAAAGACGTTCTTTATGGGTGGTCTGTCCCAAGGAGTAAGAGGATTCAAAACAGGATCACCATGATATGACCTATAAAACGGAAAAGGAAACACAGGCCTGTTACGATTTAAATTGAATGAAGTTCAATACATTCAGGTAAATTTTGTTTGTGTCTATTTTTTAAGTGCAGAAATGCAAATAAATCTGAAAAGCTTCAAAATGTTATGAAAGAACACTTGAATCCAGATGATGAATTTCTTTCACTAAAGAAATTAGTATATTGCTTATATGCAATCATCATGTAAAAGCATTCATCCTCAGACAAAACAACAACTCCAAGGCAGGAATCTCAATTAATTAATTCTATGATGGGCATATGCATTAGTGTGATCATCAATAAAAAAAAAAGTTCATTAAAGACAAGGACACGCGTTCTTGTTAGTGATGAAGATCTTGAAGCTCAAGTGACACTGCACAAAACATTGTGTGCGTCCAAATAATTGTGCACAAAGCCACATTACCAATTCTAAAGATGATACTCACTTGTCTAACTGGTACAACAGCCTCTTAGTATCCGGATCATAATCCTCTATTGCTTTGAAAAATGTCCCATCTGATATTTCACGAGCACAGAAAGATAACTGGGCAGGAAGTCCACATTCCATGCCAGACAAGTTAGTCTTAGCTAGTTCCGCAACTGATGGATAAGCATCAAATCCAGCTAACACAAGAGGTGACCAAAGTATGTCAGCATGGTGATGAGTATATCCCAGTTACAGATAATAAGGGCTCAATGTATCACCATGAAAAGAAGGAATTTCGACATTGACTATGTTGGTTGGCCATCCAGAAAAGTTTAACCGAAATTCCTCTTCATCGCAGTGGTATGTATGATGACCTTTCTTAATGTCCCCAGAGAAATGCTTCCAGTATATATTATCTGCTCTACAGTACTTTGAAAATGGCATCATCCATAAAGATGAAGCAAATGAATTGAACATCAATCTCGCTGTACCCTGATACCTTGCCAAAATGTATGTTAAATGCATGTTAAAGTAGGTAACTAAAAATCCATTAAGGTAGCAATAATAGATATCCTTCTTAAGTGGTCGACAAAATCACAATTCTTGATTAAAACGACAAAGAAAACATGCATTATTAAGATGGTAAAGATCAGCTTTTCCTATAAAACTAGCATAAAAACAGAACCACCAATTATGAGAGAAAGGAAAAACCTGAAGATACCAATTTGTATAAGAATTGAATTTCTACAAGAAGTCGGATTCCTACAGTTACCAAGCTCCAAACATATACCTGATTTCTAAACAACACATAAAGTTGGGACCAAGGAACTTCAATTCGAGAATATGATCCATTAATAAAAAGATTTATAAATTATGAAGAGAAATGAAAGACAATTGCACATTGAAATTGCTTGGGAAATTACAAAGTGATATGTTGCTAAAAAAAGAGAGGTTTAAACGGAATTCAGAATGAAAAGAAGTTAGAGGTAACCTCAGAAACAGGAAGGCCAGATGTCACTCCAGAAAGTGCAGCTTTGACTGCCTCAGCTGCACCAAGAAGAGGAGCTCCTGGAACAAAAACATGTCCAAATAAAAGGCAGTCAAGACCATCACTGACATTACTAAGCAGGCAGAAGAATTTGATGATCTTAAATTATACCAACAGCAAAGTAAGCATGAATATGTTCGTCCAGCCACTTCATATAATGCTTTGGAGCAATTTCTAGCTTCAACCACTCAAGAAAATAACGGAAAACGTTATTACCCAATGAATGGGCAAATACTAAAGATGGGCCTCCGCGAAGTTTCAAGGCAGTTTCAAATGTCAACCTGCAAATGAGGTAAAAAGAAAATATCAAGAAATCACTACCATCCTTTCAGTCAGTGAAATTTATTGAGAGGACGCTTCAGAAAATTAGACATTCTAATAACAACGAGTTCATAAAGTTCACTCTAACAGCATTTGCCAGAAAGTTTCCACAGTAGGCACTTCGTATTAGAGATATATGATCAGATATCTCTAACACAAAGCAGACAATCTCCTAAGAGTTGAGAGTTGACAAATACAACAATTAACAAAATGTTCAAAAGCTAACCCTTAGATTTAAATTCAGGAAAGCAGATATTATATGTGCCAATCACAACGTGCTAAAAGTTCTCTTCCCCCCCTCCGCAAAAAAAAAAAAGAAAAATCAATTCTTATCAAATAACTAAAATATGGAAATCATTTTTTTAAGTTCTCTCTAAACTAGTCCTTACTACTACTTTGACTAATCTATATGAAAATTAAGTAATTGATTGAATCTAATAAAACGGAAAGACCATCAGCAATGAAGACAAGTTGCTTAAGTATTTTAATGATCAAGTTGGGTCTTTTCTGCTTAACTTGCATTTAAATTTATTATTTCACATTGTACCAGAGTTCAAACCTAAGAAACTGGCCATCACAGATTTGTTATCTGCAGTTAGGCCATCATAGACAACCTGTTAATCTGTGTTTGATTTATACATGTTTAGGTTTACGTCCACGCACTAAGATGGGTATCCTGCTTGTACATGAGGGGCTGCCCCAGAATAGTAAGTAATAAGCTTGGGTCCTTCCTATCAATCAGAACTCGTTTGGAACAGCTTTCGGCTTTGATTGTTGCATTCTAAAAGCACTTTTACAACCAAACAGATAAAATGGAAAGTGGTTTTGATAAAAACCAAAGTTGACACATGCTTTTTGACAGATTTAAACGCAAAAACTACAATTTGTAACTTTTAAGACATGGCTTTGGTTTTCAACAAAATTTCCAGTTAAAGATTTCTAAAGTTATTTTCACCCAACATACTTCTGTTTTTTAAAGTGACAATATCTTTTTAAAGTTATCTCCACCAAATACCAAAAAACTTTTGTTAAAATTTGTTTTTAATGAACTACTTTTTTAACAACATTTTTAAAACTCATAATATAAGTTACAACCACCCCAAATGCCTATTTAAACTTTCAAGTTAATCATTCATCTAACTTGATTTAGTATCACAAGAGGAGGATAAATAATTGATTCAAGCTAGGGATTTTGTTCAATCAAACCTCAACTAAATGATATAAAATAAGATATGATAACAAGGTAAGATGTGAATTCTTGTACCCATGCTATAAGGAGTTTCCATAAAAATAGACTTGTCATGATGAGAAGTTTAATTTTTCACTTTTTCCAGGCAAACTTTGCAGTTAAAGATGCCCCCTGGACTCACATATGGACATAAAGGGATCAATCTATTGAAATATTCACCACTGCTGGCAATTAGCATGAAAATAACATAGTAGCAATTAGTAAGATATATACAAACTTGAGCTTGTGAAAGTAAAGATCTCTCTCTTCCAGTTTTGAAGGTGACAATCTCCAATCATATGGAACAGCAATAATAGCATTGGCCTCGATACCAAATTCAATGCACCACTTAATCCATTCTTTCCAAATTGAAGAAATAGGACCTGCATCAGGTCATAAAAAAGGCTGGCCCTTTGTTAAGCCTTTTATGCCACCAAAATAAACTGAAACTCTTTACACACATTTATAAATAGAGAACTTCTAGCTGAAAAAGAAAAAAAATACATAAATAACAAACAATACCTGTTATATATCCAGGATCCAGTTCTGTAATTGCAGAAAGACCGCTGTCAGGGCGAGATTTGCATTCAGGGTGATCCGTTTGGTTGTAAGGTTCCAGTAGCATACACTTAAGCCAACAGTTGACAGCAGAAAGAAGCTGCAGAAAACACGAAAGTTTGGTCCGTGTGTTATGCATCAATCGTCCTCTTTGGCTTGACTAATATATGAAACCTTTGTTTTTTCTTTTCTTTTTTTACAAAAATGAAATCAAGAGTGATTATCCAAAAAGGCATGCTGAAATAATCATCCTTCTCTTTAGCTTTCGTATCAAGATTCAAGACCTACGAATAGGCATCAGCTTTAGCCAATAACAAGGATAAATAATTTTTTTTTTTAGTAAGCAGGATAAATCATTACAGAATAATCTCATTTACATTATCAGCTTTGGATAGGCATACTAACATGATATTGAGCACCAAATACGAAACAGAAATTTTAAATTAAGTCAAATCAGCTGGTCTTTAATCATTGTCCACTGAGTTAAGCAAGGGCTAAAGAAAAGTAGTATTTTCCACTTTCTACAACTTTTTCGCGTTAGCCCAGGGAAAAGAGAGAAAGCTCTCTAAAGATGTGAGATTGCAATTCCAAAAATAATAGAAAAGAGATGCTCAAAAAAGGGTAGTAAAGAGGGAGAAAAGTGAAGGAGGTGTCAGAACGTTTTGCACCATTAGATGTAAACCTTAAGATTCCATCGAAGAAAAGTGAAACTCTCCATAATACTGGCGCTTTAGGCGTACCGACCACAAAACTCAGAGGACTTAAAAGGAGAGCAAATGGAGAACCATGGAACAGATACTTTCTATTTCCAGCAAAGTAGAAAACCGAGGAGAGACAAAATACAAAAAAGGAAAATATAAAATGGACGTAAAGTGGAGAAAACAAAAAAAGTTTAAGCATTCCCTTTTCCATTTCATTATCTTTCCGAAATTTCCCACGCTCGCTATCAACCAAACGCCACGAAATTAAGCTTTTTGTCTCCATTATCAACTCCATACAACGTTCAGTTCTAATAACTTCAAAATCAACAAATAACATTCAGAAAATACCAGATTCAAAAAGAAAACAAAGTAGTTAACGACATAATTTTTTAACTTTTTCCAATAATGGAACGGAAGCTGTTAACGACGGAAAACGAAAACAGAAAATATATTGCATTTGTTTGTGTACTTTGGTGGTATCGAGCCAGACTAGGTCGAGAGGATTGAAATCGAGAGGAGAGTAAGGGCAGTCGAGGATGGACCATGCTCGGAGCTGCGTCGATGCGAATCCCGGAATTATTATTCCCGACAACTTCGAGTAATCGCCGGCAAACTCGCCGACATTTGCTCCGGCTCTTACTGCTAGTAACATTAAGACGATTAGCGGAAGCAAATCTGCTCCCATCTCTCATTTCATTCTTCGTCTCCGTCCAAATCTTCACATAAGAATAGAAGAAGGTGATTACTTAATGCGTGTTTCGAACTTATGACTTGCCGTTGGGAACGTGAAAATTGAGGCTCCGTATTTTTCCAAGTTTGCCCCTTAATATTTCATTATGATTGGCCAAGTATTTATTTACTTTTGGTCGGGATACTAGTTTTGAAAAAAAATTGTTGTAGAAAAATATAAATTGTTATATTATTTTAATTAACTATGTTATATAATTAACAATAAATAATTTATAATATACAATTATTTAAAGAATATTCTTAAAATTTATTTTATTAATTTATATTACTTTAAAATATTTTTTAGTTTAGCCATTTTACTTATGACATTAAATATAATATCATTTTAAAGTTATTATTGTTTGGTTCTAAAATATATATTCTTAAATAATTTATAGTAAGTAAAAATTATTGATAATAAATAAATATTATATTTTTATTTTAAACTGATAAATTAGTAAATTATAAATTTAATTAATAAACCGTTTTCAATAATATAAATTAAAAGTAATTTAAGATTTATGGTTATTACACTAAATGAAACTTTTGTTTTTTAATTGAAAACAAAAATAATAACTTCGCTGAGAAACTAGTTTTTAAAGGTGTGCGCAATTATGATAAATACTACTATACTCGGATTTAAAAATTAATCCGAGATAATCTTTTTTATTTACAAAAATTATATAAATAATTTATTTTATTTAAATTATTGAGAAAATTTGAAATAATAGCGAAATTAAAAATAATTTTGAAAAAAAATTAGTGAAATTTGAATAAATGAGGTGTTTTTGAAAGAAAACTTGAAAACAATGGGTAAAATGGCAAAAAGAAGAAATTCGGCCATGTGAGATGACCCAATCAGCACCCACAGCGAATCAAAACACACCGTATGACAAAATAAGCTGACATCGGTACCATGCAGGCAATCCACGTGCCTGGTAATCCGACAGTCTCGATCTTGTCTCGTGCGCACGAACGACTCATATGCATTCTCTTTTTAGGCTTGTTCGGACAGATGAGATCAATCACGATGAAAGTCCAGATTTGTCCAAGCAATGGGCCTAAACTTACAACGATCGAACGGCTCTCCATATTCCATGTCGACGCGAATGAACGACCTAAATCGATGCGAGATAAATATTTAAACATCGTGTCTCAATGAACCTTAACCCTAGCCACACCTTCCCTCGTCGAAGAAGAAGAACCAGACACTAGAGAAAGAGAACAACCCTCGACCGCTGCCGTACCGAAGCCATCATCGACTGCCAAAAAAAGGAAAAATTTTCCCTTCCCTCTCATAATTGGATTCTAAGTCTCTTTGTGGCTATATCGGAGCAAAAGGGACAATGGGTGAGCTGAAAATCGCAAGCAAAGCTCAGTAGAGCCGTCACGGCTAAAACCCTAAAACCCCTCCGATGAACCCTTTTCTCGTTTCCCGTTTCACATAATTTTTTTACCATTGTGTTCACCGTCATTTTCTGTGCAGGTTAGCCGAATAAGAAACCTCAGCTGCGAAGGAGAACTAGCAGAGCCGCTGCACCTAGAGACCCTCCCGCTGGTAGTATCAGTTTTTTTTTTTCATTTTCTGGCCAATCAAGATCCCCTAACGTATTTTTTCACATGGATATGTGTAAAATTGGCCAAAACCAGCTAGGCTTAGGCGAACTGTCACTGTGCTAGAACCTAAGAATTGGTCAGAAAAGGTTTTCAACACTGATTTTAGGTTTTTATGGTATTTTTAAGTACGTGATGAGTATTTTGATTCCTACATGAAAAATTCAGGAAATCCAAGACCCGTTAAGAGGTGTAGTAGATAGTATAGTATTTTGAAATACATATATGGGTAAGGATCCTTCGCTCTATTTTCTGTTACGATAAATTGAAGATTAATTATCAATAATTGTGTATTTTGTAAAAAATTAAAAAAATCCTAAAAATAATTATAGGTCACTAGTAGAGTCAAACCGATTAGATCACATTTGTTTTGATTCCCTGTTTATTTTCCTATACTACCTAAACTGCTTACTATTATATTGTGTGTATTTAAATTAATAGTTTTTATGGTTTTCTCGATTATTTGGTTTATTTAGTTTCTTCTGCATTATTTATTTAGTTATTTGGTTACTTAGTTATTCGATTATGTTAAATTATATCATTTGCTTAAATGTCATTTAAATTAATCTATAAAATGAGACATTAGTATGTTTTGATGGTTATTTGTATGATGAGAATCTAAATAAATGAAAGCTTACTTAGCATCCTGGAAAATGATGGATGGACCCGATACATAGAAAATTCTACCATGGACATTACCTCAGTCGGATGGGGCTGAGAAATCTCATATCGAAAGGATTTTGTAAGATATGATTTACCCTCATACCGAACAAAGTATTGAGACGATAGTGTTTTTGGCGCACATTATTAAACGAGGTATAGAGACGGTCGAGTTAATTGTCAAATCTTGATACTAGGTCTATGAGTAGATAGATATCCCTATGGACCCCCAGGGGCCCTAGTAAATAGGTTAAAATGAAGAATTACTGATCTTATGTACGAACTTAAAATGTTACTTGACTATTTATCTTCATAGTTGTTTTCAGAAAAACTTGTAACGATAAGTATGCAATAAAACGTTTTAGAGTTAAAAATATTTACTTAAATCAATGATTTTATTAGTTGTTTTGTGATTTTCACCAACATTCAGTTTTCTGTATTATTGATTAGTGTGATATTATTGTTTTGTGATTTTTACCAACATTCAGTTTTTTGGATTAGTGATAAGTGTGATATTCTTATTATGCTAGTGTAGCTTACCATTTTATTAATCATTTTATATTAAGAAAACTAAAATCCATATCTCGATTAGCAAAAGAGTTGTGAGTAGTTCATCTCCCGGACTCCTTTCAAGTGCTAGTGAATGTTAACTTTTAAGATATCTATTTATTTATTTTTAATTATCGTTTGTCTTTTTTTATGAACAAATATATAAAGGACATTCTCATAACCATATTGGGTTTTCCAATTTACTATATAAGGAATATAGACAATAACTTTATTGTTCACTTTCCACATTTATAAATATAAATTTATTTCCTTTGAGTTTTAGGTGTTTACAGTTGGTATCAGAGTCGCGTTTTTCAGAACTATTTCTTACACAAAGAACTTAAAAACACCAAATACAAATTATCGCTCATCCATTCCTTATGAAATGCAGGTACAAGGATATAAGGAGATGAAGGCCCCCACTAGACTGTGTAACCCGAGATGTTTTGCTTCAAGAGGATGTTGATCGACTCTTTGAGATGTTGGAGAGACTTATCTCTGCCAACAGGCCCAAAAAGAGAGGAAAGAGCTACCTAACTCTTCCCCGCTGCCACAGTTTAAGCCACCCTTACAGTGAAAAGATCCGGAGCTACCCCAGTACAACTCTACTCCTCCACCGTATCATCTAGTACAGTTATAGTACAATTTGGTGTCTCCACTATATCATTCAGCAATGCCATAAGGCCACCTAATCCCTCTCCAGCACAATCCAATCCCCCTTCTACAGGACTCAATTCCACTCATAATGGACCTAGGTTACATTGAAAGGTATAAAAGACTAAACTCATCTACCTTTGCAGGAGCATCATCTTTTAAAGAGGCTGAGTATTGGTTAGCTGAGACAAAGAAGGTCTTCGCAATACTTAAGGTGGTCCCTGAGTAGAAAATTGTACTCGCCACCCACATGCTCGTAGGAGAGGCAGGTTACTGGTGGCAGCTCAAGTAGGCCAACCAGCCTGTTCCAGCCACTTGAAAACAGTTCCTGATGGCTTTCAATACAGGATACCTCCTAGAGCACCTCCGACATTTGAAGAAAATGGAGTTTACACACCTAGTCAAGGGTGATATAACTATGTCGGAATATACCTGAAAGTTTCTAGAACTGAGCCGGTATTCCCCCAAGAGTATAATGGATAAAAGCAGGAAGGTAAAGAAGTTCGAGTGGGGCCTCTATTCTGAGAACAGATAGCAGTTGTACGTATTTAAGCTCAGCACCTACTCAGTCGTTTTGGCTAAAATACAACTGGTAGAGAGAAACCTTTATATTTTTTCTCTAGCAGTGGGGAAACCTAAACCCCCAATTTCACACGGTATACTAGTACCCACTGTACCGGTTCAACAGAACACGAGGCCTAGATTAATGACTCAGGCTCCTCTTCAGGCTCCGACAACAGGATGGGATAAGACTTGTCAGCACTGTAGTAAAGATCATGGCAACCGAACCTGCTATCATCTCAATAATACATGTCGTATATGTGGGAGTGTCCAACACTACACGAGAGAGTGCCCGCGAAATCATAATCAGGCCAGAGCTCCTATCTAAGGCGGAGCTTACAACTTCAACTAGTAAAATGCTGAAGCAAACCTAGATGTGATACAGGGTACGTACACTATCTGTAATCATCTTGCACATGTTTTAATTGATATTTGTGCTTCACATTCATTTGTCTCACATGTTTTTGCACAAAACTTGAATGTATTACCTGAAATACTTGATTCTGTGCTATTTGTGTCCACTCCTAGAATTATGATACTACTAAGGGATATTATATACAAACTTTGTATCATAAACATAACAGTTAGAAAACTGAGTGTGGACCTAATAGAGATTGACACAGGGGACTTTGATGTAATTTTGTGAATCAACTATTTAGTGGTGTACCATGCCACCATAAATTATTTTCATAAGAAACTTGTATTGAACCCTCCTAACGAAGAGCCATTTGCAAGTTAATAAAAGTTTTAAATATTATTTCCCATGACAATTTCTTTATTACATAGTATTTTTACTCGTTTGTCTTCTATATACTAGGTAAAAATAAGAAAGAAGTTTGCA